GGTGGTACGTCCACACGATACTTTGTATCCATATCGTTAAATCTAACGATCGTGCGTTATTCAGGCTTTATGAAGGCGCTCTAACCGCCCGGTCTTCATCCGCCGCCAATCTTGGCCGCTCGTTAAAGCTCAGGTTGCGCCCGGTTCTCTCCCGTTTTTCAGACGGGATCACACACACACACACGCGCGCGCGGAATGTTCGATTCCACGTCTGCGTCTTTGAGGGACGATCGAATCGCGCCTCGTCGGGAATTCGATGAATAAAACAGGCACGGGGATGAGATCTTTTTTATGTCTCCCAGCTCTTTTACGGCATTATAAGACACACGTGTGTCTTATAATGACGTACGTCACGTTATAACGCATCTGTATGACGCAACTTACGGATTGGTGCAGCATCATGCTGTCCCGATCTATGTAGTCCGTCCCGCGCGACGCAGCAAAAAAAAAATTTCACCCTACCGGCTGCGTTACTATAGACGGTAGCTGTCCTCTTCCCTGTCTAACCCGCGTATTTTCAAGCGAGAAACGTTGGTCGCTTTTTGCGATCGGGACTATCGCGCTCGTTAAAGTGCAGCGATTCTTAATTGCTGCAGTAAATGGACACGCGAGTTTCGCGGCAGGCGAGAACGCCGCGATTCTAATGGTAAGTCCGATGATCCGCGAGATTATACGCGATAACGAGGGATTCCGAGGGACTGAAGAAAGTTCCTTACGATGTATACCGGATCCGCGGCACAGAAATCTGAAAATCAATAGTCTCGAGATTATGTAAGGATAACCGCCCAAGCGTTAAATATTCATCGATTCCTGTATATTTAAGAAGAGATATAGGATACATGCATGCGGCGTACGTGTCAGATGCTCGCGCGGCTTTTTTTTTCCAGCGCGTCTTACCGAATGAATTTGTATGTCGGTTTCTCCAGTCGCGTAATTTAGCGTAAGTAGACGTTAACGACATGGAGATGGCGGCAAAATGGTGGAAAGTCTCTCGGCGCTACTCCTTCTAATAGTCTCCAACTCCCCTTGCGCTTTTCCGCAACGGATCGCAGCGGAGAATCGCCTCCGTGGGATTAATCCGGGCGAAACAGCGTTGAAACGTTAACGCTGTAACATTATCACACGTGTGTTAACTACGGCTGAGCGCGCGTTTCTCGCGTGCGCTAGATTCTCAACAAATTGACCGTGTGTGTGTGCGCGCGTGTGGAAGCCGAATCCTAATGAACGCGCAGATGTTGAACGTGTTGTGTACCAGAGATCCGACTTTCATCCTCGCGATAAAAGCTAGATTCTCCAGACGACAGAAATTCAGTGCCACCCGAGAGAGTCTGCAGGAGAGGAGATTTAGCGTGATTTAGAAAAGAGAATGTGTAAACACGGCGTGCGTCCGACATCGTACGACATCATACTGTTTGACGTTTCTTTTTTCGCGAGAGCTAGCCAGCGACGGACTGCGGATATTGCGAGCGCTCTCGCGTCGAAAAGTGTCACTCGAGATACGTGTCCAGCGATGCGACAAATGATGGTTGAAACGAAAGCTTTCCAAGCTCTTTCCCGTCCCCTGTCGTTTCCGTCGTCGCCGATTTGGACAACGGCAACGGCTCAGCAAGGCGAGGAACATCGACTCTCTTCGATCCTTTGGGATAGTCCATCGTATAACGTATAACGACGGACAACACACGGGAAGTAGAAGTTTAGAATTTGAGAAGTAGAGCGAATTAAGAAGCAGGCGACTCTTGCGCGCTCGCCGGCGAAACCTCCTTCTCCGCGCGAGAAAGTCAATTCGCGATTTTAGACGGAGCGTCCTCGGTAGCTATCCTTAAACCGTGTCACCCGGTCGCGCGGGCTATACGCCGTGACCGATCGAGATGTATAAAAGCGAGACACGTAGGGTGTTTCAGAGAGTACATATATATGTACATATATATACATCGGTTGGAAGTCGACCCGCACCTGTCCGCTCCTCGATTCCAGGACGCGGCTAACTGTAAAAATATCGAGGACATCCTAATCTCCTGTGAAACTTCTCGTGGCGGAGGTTACCGCAGGTGTCTTCGCAACGCCGCGGGCCGTCGGCTTCCTCGCCGGCATGAATCTTTCATGAGGCCTCTTCTGTCTCTCTTTCTCGCGGGGGTGGGAAGGGGGGCTCGCTCGTCGGGGCCACATAGATGCACCTTCACTTTTGCCGAGCTCGGCGGGCAGCCGATGTCTTTCGAAAGACATGCTCGGCCCGCCAGCCCTTCTTTGATACCGAGAGCCGTGGTGAGCCTTTAGGCTCACAGCCCGCGGACACGCTCGACACTCTCTTTCCTCGCCGCGCGATCGTAGGTATACGTTAAATATTAGCTTTTCGCGAAAGTAAGTATACCTACGTGGATCGCGTACCACGTACGTTGCGACACGTTGCGTAAAAGGCCCGAAAGCGATACCTCGCGCCGAATTGCTGCCGAGCTCTCTTCGACTTCACGTGAGTGAAGCTTCGACCGCTCGCCAGCACGAGAGAGAGGAGGAGGTCGTATCCATCCAGCACGTACTTAATTTTCGCTTTTATCTGTTACTTTTTACTTTCACTTCAATTGTTTCCGCTGATTCTCACCTGATTTTTCTAGAATGGCTCGTAAATATAATCGCGCGCCCGTCCGGTTTTCACCTTAATGATCTTATCGTCGGCGTTAACGATTATAAGTGGCTCCGAGAAAACCGCTGAGTATAGGATTGTCTTACGATGTCGCCGGCGGAAGATGCCGACTGTTATCCCATTCGCCGAATCAGCTTCTATCGCGCGCTACCCATGGTGACGAGATAAAACGTCTCGCTGCTATTTTTTTCTTTTCTTTAATTCGAAAGGATCGCGAGGGAAACCGGTTGCGGAGACAATGCTCGTTCGTTTATGCGCCCGTCAGGGCTGTATGACCCCCCTCGCTTCGCCGGAACATCCGCCGCCCTTCCCCCTCTCTGTCTCACGGGGTGTCTCACCTGTAATGCGGCCTTTGCAGCCTCGCGGCTGTTGGCGAACGGTGAACAAGGCCGACCACTTTGCCGCATGTAACTTTTACTTATTTCTGCGCACTTACGTTTCACTCACGGCTGGACCATTAATCACGCGGGTGCGCAACGTTGGGATACCGTTGCAATTGCGGGGAGAGCTTAACGACTAACAGCCAAGGAGTGGCGGGACACGTCGATGTGCCGGAAAGCGCGAGATGGAGACTTTTAAAGCTTCTGTGAACCCGATTACATCGTAATTCATTCCACAAAGCGCGTCCCGACGTGAACGTTTGTCGCAGCTCTTCGCTCTCTTTTCTCTCTCTCTCTCTCTCTCTCTCTTTCTTTCCCCTTTCCGAGAACGGAAAAACGGACATTGAGGATCGGATGTCTTCTACTGACTATAAAACGTGATGATTTTTGTCCGCCGGTGAAAGCCGATGAGACAAGTGTGTCGCGGACTTGTCGGGGAAAAAGAAGAGAGGATACAAAAGCGCGTGGAAATCCGATGCGTTAGTCGCGAAGAGCGAGAGAAGTGCGTCGCAATAAAAGCGCGTTGACAGTAAAATATAACATTGCTGATCGGCTTTGCCATTGCGATCTACGTATATATGCGACAAATAATAGAATTCGCGAGTCGCGAGAGTTCCGCCTGTAGTGCTGCGAGCAAAAAAAAAACTGGAAACTGACTTTTTTTTTTGCCGCGAAAGAGGCCCCGTGGGATAGTTCGTAACAAACGTTGTTACAGATAGGAGGCCGTGTTTAGCAGAAAACCGGTCGGACTAGGCTAAACGCGAGGATCGACCGCGAGCACTTTCCCGTTAACTACCTATCCGTTCCAGTTTTTCGCGCTCATGTGATATCGCCGGGTAATGCGTAACACTGTACAAGCGTCGCTTTATTGCATTTTGTAGCAATTACGAATCTCATTTAGCCGCGTCGCCGGTCCACTTTCGTATTTCGCGCGCTAAAACCTGAAGGAGAAGCCTTGGCCATTAATCCGCGCGAGCTAACGCTCGCGCGGAGCGAGAGAGATGATCTCCTGAATGGATTTCTCAGAAATCACCTTCTCCTTTATCTCATTTATCGATTCTCGCGACAACTCGGACGATTCGCGAGAAAGGTGAAAATAGAGAATATCAATGCGATTTCTTTCCGACTTATAAATATTCTATGCCGTACCCGGCTTTCCCATTACATAAGGCGCCGGGGTTTCTGAATTTTTAATCGGCACGCGAAATCATAACCGCGCTCTCCGTTACGATGCCCTCCTCCTCCTCGTCCCTTCGCGCCACGGTGTGTTTCTTTCATCGATTTCGGCGAATGGTCTCGGTTCGCGGATTCTTCAACGTACTAAAGGGGAAGCGATGCGTGGAATAGCTAAGGGCTAATGAATGCGGCGCGTAAAACACGCGCGCGCACGCGCGGTTTCACGCTTGACCCGGCGCGTGGTTTCACGCGTTGCTCACGCCGTAGCAGCCTCCCGCTTTCACGTTGCGCAAAACATCATTCGGTCCCACCGACCGTCAACGAACGGCGTTTCGCGATTTTTACAGTTCACACAATTTCTTTTTTCTCTCTCTTCCCTCCCCTCTCCTCCTCCCCAGTACGTGTTATCCTAAGCGGCAGCTTTCGAGAGCGACGCGGCGCGGGCGCCGCGATCCGTTACGGCAAAACGCATACTCGATCATCCCGAGCGGCGCCACCGATTTGCGGTGACACTCCGCTTTTCTTCCTTTCTTCCTCGGTCGCTTTTTCCCCTCCTCCTCTTCCGTTCTTTTGATATCGTTTAACCGCGACAATCGTGACACTGCGAGAGGCGTCAGATCCGCGCGAGAGATCACTGGGAAAATATCGCAGATTTATTTGCACGTAACGGGAGTGTAGTTTCGTGAATTATATCTCTTAGGGTGTATTTAACGTTCGGATTATCTTGTTAAGTGCAACGAACGTCACGTTGCAGCTGCGAGTCTACACTATACGCGAAATAAATTTATTTCTCTTTCTTTTTTCAGAAGCCAAAGTATTGCTGAAGAGTCGCATTAACGATATATAGAGGCCATAGAGAGGAGCCGTGCTGGCCGAGTGAAAGAGAGGTGTTCGCGGCCGAGCCTAGAGGAAGTCGTCTCGCGAACGGGGGAAAAGGGAGAAGCCGTAAGCAGGATGGGCGAGAGACGCGGTACGAAGGCGCTGGAGCTCTGGTGCCGTCGGATAACCGACGGTTATCCGGGTGTAAACGTGCAAAACATGACCACCTCCTGGAGAGACGGGCTCGCCTTCTGCGCCATGATTCATCACTTTCGGCCGGACCTCATGTAAGTTTATAGCGAGTGTGTGTAATCGCCGTTGTAACACACGGAAAATATCTCGGGACGATATTATATTACGCAGATAACGACGCGCGAAATCATTTTTCCGTCGTTTATCGAGCGAATTTTATAACAGTAGTGCTTTCTCTCTCTCTCTCTCTCTCTCTCTTTCTCTCCTTCTCGGACTGTAATAATTCCGTGGAAACGATCGACCATTAGGGTCGATGGTGCGCACTCGTAAAAGTGCGATTTAATCCACACATCGCTCGATTCTTGGCGCGGCTTCAAATTGTCCTCGTTAAGCCGATTGTCTCGTAAATTAAGCGAGAGAGAGAGAGAAAGAGAGGCAGAGAGAGAGAGAGAACCCTCAAGTGCTCGCGTGTCTCGTCGTCCAACTTAGACTGCTGTTTCATCTTAATTATGCGTAAATTAAGTAACAGCGAGCACGAGTCCTCACGCGTCTCGTGTCATTCGACTTCGGTTCGTATCTCATCTTAATTGCTGCGCGCGCGCGCGCGTTCGTCGATTCTCGCCGAGAAGATTATGTCTTTTCGATATACGAATATTTCGACGCGATCATTTCATCTTTGACACGATTGGGTATTATATAGATGTTAGGCGCGATAAGGCGTGACAAAAAAAAAATCGAGAAATTCGCGGACCTCGGTATTCAAAAGTGTGTTAGCACTTGACGAATTATTAAGATATCCGAGAATCTCCGGTGATCCCAAAGATGCGGAGATTTCCAAGGCATCTCACCCCGGACAGATTGTCCCCCTTCATAGTAATCCCAGGATTTCGCATCGCCGGCGCTCGGCGACGAAGGAAGGTCCTTCTAAAAATAGAAGTTCAGTGAATTGACGATCGATAAAGCAACAGCAGCCTGCACCCGTCACGCAGGAGGATGTGCCCCCGGTGTTTTATAGGTGATAACGGGAATGTGCATAGCCGGAATTGTGTCGCGTTATGCAATATCGTGCAGAGAGATCGGCGACGGCGCTGCATGTATTATTCCGAGATATCCTTCGCTCGGTAATATCCTTATCCGTTTTGACCGCTTAGCACCTCTGAAGCGTTTCTTTTTTTCTTCAAATTACAGTTTGCGCCGACGATACGTTTTAACCCAGTTCCATATTGCATAACGCGGCCCAATGTATTACGGAATGTAACCTGCTTTCTTTAGCCGGCCAGACGATATACTCGCTCGCTGACACAATTTGCGTTCCTTCCGAATAGTAAAGTTAGTTTTACTTTAAAGTTTCAATTTTTTAAAAAATCGAGAATAACCTCGAGGTGTCAGTGTTTTCGACGTTGTTTTTTTTTTTCCTTTTTGCGCATATCATTCTTTTCGCGCGGATGATCGATAAACCGGGGATAAAAAGTTGGACAACATCGCGGACATCGCGGAGATTTGTCTTCAATTATTCATGAAGAATAACGACAACACCTCCCGGTGCTCTCCTGGCGACCGTCCAAATAAATATCTCTCCCGGTAGTCGAAAACATCTGATAATTATTGCAATCGTTCGATACGTTTAACGCGAGCGAATAAACAACGCGAGCGGAATACAATTGCGCCGTTGTTGTACACGTTGCCAAGAACCGGAGGGAAAATAGTCCGTGCCGAGTCGCGCGGTTAACTTTTCAATAAGATTTATATATATTTCATAATTTACGACTCGAAATATCGAGGCTAAATCGCAGCGAGGAGTCTGTGGACCGCATCGCCTTGCCCGTCTCACATCTCCCTCGGATACTCCCGCGATGTGTCCTGTTACAGATCAAGTGGCGTTTTTAAAAGGAATTCGCTCTTATCCGTCGAAACAAGAGATCCCGACCTTTCTTTATCGTCTTTTCTACGAAGAGTCTCTTCGTCCTGGCTTTTTATCGAGTCTATTCTACTTCTATTTTTTTTGTATCGGAGATGGAATTAGATACTCTCGGAGTTCTAGAGATACGTAATATATACGCCTTTATCTGTTTTCGATACATTTATTAATTGGAATGAAGAACGTCGTTTTGAAGAGTCATTTGAAGATATATATATATATATATATATATATATATATATAAATCTACGTTTTTTAAAAAATTGTGTCCTTAAGAAAAACGACGTCCCTTTTTACAGAGAGAAAGATGTTTGTTCGTATGAGAGAATTCCTCTCAGAACTTCGCTCGAATAGTCAAGGTCTCACGACGAAGGGAATTCGCTTTTTATCGCGGACGGAAGGATCGTTGCGAAGCTATTCTTCATTTCTCCTCCTCTTATTGTCTCGGTCAGTCCGGCAAAATCTACTCGGACGTAACGGCGGGGGCAATAAAACGGCGAGAAGTTTTCTTTTATTACCTTCCGTTCCCGCGGCTGAGAAACGAAATTTTCTCCTCTCCTCGCTTCCTTCCTCCCTCTCTCTCTCTCTCTCTCTCTCTCTCTCTCGGCTTCCCTTGAGAAACCGAAGGAATGCTCGATCAGCCGTTAATTCTCAATTCTTAGCCGTGGCCGCGTTAAACTGTTGCAAATCTCCGACACGGATGAATGGGATATTTCTTGCGCGCTCGATATTGTATTAGTCAAATGTTTTTTTTTCTTTTACGCTTAGTATTACAA